GGGGGGGGGGGGATTCACTGACGAGTGTCACAATTCTTTTGGATATTCTGTCAGTTTTAAAATCTTTTCTCAAGTGCTTTCTGATCTTTAAGGTAATTCGAATATTTTTTATAATATACTATATGTTATGTAACTCAATCCCAATATCGAGTGAAAGTTTCAATCTTGTCAATTTTAAAAATTCATCTTTCTAATACTCCCCCGGAAACGTTCAATCATATCCGCTTGTCTCGTCGTTAAATATTTGATCAATTGGGTAAAAAATGAGAAAACCAGATACACGTCTATTGTTTGGAATGCCTCCTCCTTGTTAGTATGAACGTAGTTGAATAAGCTGCGAGCGTCTTAAAAAATCACTAGGAAAAGTACGTGATTGCGGCAGGACCTTTAAAAAATATGAAAGGAGAGAGAGAGAGAGAGAGAGAGAGAGAGAGAGAGGATCCGTATCCTCATAAAACAAACATCAGTAAAACCTCTTTCCAATTCCTTGCCCGTGTCTCTCTCGACGTCCTTACACTGGTGCGAATTATTGGCTGTAAGGGCGAGGCCGAAGTAGACGGAAACCCGAGTTATCATCTGCAAGCACCGAATACCAAATGAGCCTGGATCATAATTTCGTCGGGTTTAACAAGATTCCCAGCGTTGAATTATGTTTTCGTAGCGGTATTTTATTCCAGCAATGATTAATCATGCAGCACGATGCATGCTTGCCCGCGGGCGCCACCGAAAAACCGAACGATATACGCCGTTTCGCAAAAGCAAACAAAAGTAAAAGTCAAAAGAGAATTAAAGAAAAATTTATGCTGAAACAAAATCGTGAAATCACTTTATTATACTCAGAGCGTAGAAATATGTTTTTTTTTTTTTTTTTATTATTTCAAGAAAAATCACAAAGAGAAGGACCATTCCTTTTTTCGTGTACTTTTTGGGTACATAATGCAAGGGAGCCGAGGGTTATTGGACGTCCTGCAGTGTCCGTCGCGATACTATTAATGTCCCTCGTTTCCTTCCAGCTTTCTTCCCTTTCTGGTCCTTTCTCACCCACCCCACCTCCCACCCATTCTCCTTTCGACCTTTTCCCAAGGGATGATAAAGTCTTCCTGTCATCGTGAGCCTCGGCTCCTACTGGCCCCCGGCGGGCCTTGATTGTTTTAAGCTGCGCTTATTTATAAGCGTGATTATCGACCGAGTGAAATTCTGAACCCCGTATAATTACCCTGCGGGAAGGTGGGAACGCTGGTCCGGTATCAACTGGGACGACAGACGCCTCATTGAAACCGGCACCGAAACTGGCACTCGCACTTGGAGGATGCTCCCTTAGCGCTTGTCCAGGACAAATGGACGCATTTAGGGACATGCTTGCTCTGTCAAGGGGACGCATGTCGTCGATATCTCATATTTTGACAACTACACACGCGTACCGGAGCATCCTTGCTTTATCATGCGACAAAAAGTACGCGGTGTCCGCAAGCAAGTGGACCTAGACGTTTTCCGAACGTTACATAATGACGCCATATGCACGCAGTACAAACCATCGCGATTACGAAACTGCTTTGCGCGCATTGTATTATTCATGTGGTTTTGTGCTCCTCTTCCTTGTTACTTTATTCTCCTTGATTCTGATATTGTACCTTCTGTATATACGTAGCAAGTATGATCTTGCGTATGTTGTAATCGAGCACTTATGCTAAAAAACAAAGTGGAAGCATTTATATACAAAGCAAAACAAAATTAGCTTCCTGGCACATTTATATTCAAAACTATTTAAACTCATCATCATGTAGCTTATGTGACATTTGAAAATGAGATGGAAGTAAACGTGAAAATTCTATATTAAAAATTTCTTGAAATAGTCCACAGAAGCTGAGACTTCTGTAATTCCCAATCGAACTTTTAACGTGTTTCTCGCGAAGCGATAGGAGAGGTCAAAAATATAATCGTTACTGTCAAGTCGAAAATAAATGACATTTATATATTCGTACTCTGTAACATTATATATATATATATATATATATATATAAAAATGATCCTAATTTTTTTCCGAAGTTTCTAAAAGATTTAAAAAAACTATTGAGGAAGATTTATGTTTATTTCACCTTTTAATTCTTTTGACGTCTATTCAGTCGTATCGATTCACCTTAGCATGGGAAGAGCTCACTTTTTTCAGTCTGACAGGTCGGCCAGAAAGCATTGTTCATGACCATTGACACTCGGAAGGGATACGTTACGGGTCATATAGAATCCTGCAAGTGTTTTTTTATTTTTCCAGAATCCAGAGGAGCAAAAGTAATTTTTCATTTGCCTGCCGTGTTCATTCTATTAACGGCACGAGCAGCTATCAATTGCAAACCGAAAAACAAAATAGCCAAAAACGTCCTCTGTAATTGGACGTATTCGTCCATAAAAATAGCTGTTTCATTTTATAGGCAATTAATTTAACGGAGAACGCGAGCGTACTCGCAGAACGATGCACGCGGAATGTTTTACTGGTATACAGAATGCAATGTCGAATTTTGCGGACGCGTCCGAAAGTCCAGGATCACATGCGCCAACGTGACGAGAGTATAAACGTTATTGAAGTACGGTCACCATCGCGGTCGCAAAGGATACAATTGGAAATATAAGACTAATAGTGCTGATACGTTTAGTACAGTACAAATGTTTCCGTAAAGAAAAAAGACAAAAATTTGAAATACCCAACCACAGCAAGTATAGCAAGTTCGGAGACAAAAATGTCTTTTCTGAGGAATAAAAGTTTTTAATTTAATTACTCCCAACAGAACGGACATGATTTGATTTAAAGTAAATTTATACAAAAGACACCCTGTAGACGAAGGGCTACTTAATGTGCCGTAAATCAGACCCCAGCAACCTCATCGGATGGTTGGTACCATCTTCGTTCGGCCAATAAACAATATTGTAGGTAACCAACGGTCACACACACTTTTTTAAAATTATTTTTATGTCCTTTTAATTCAAATCCAGGCAGCCGTAAATATGCGATAACGAATCTATGCCCACTGAATCATGACCCCAGGCAATATTCCGGAGTCCATCCGTTTCATCTGCACTATCCGTTCTTTCATCTACGAAACGTCACAAACATTGATCTACAACCGATCGCAGCTTTTATTAGAACACCCTATACGTACAAACCTACATCAACGGCAACTATATAAAATGAAATACGTGCAATGATTTTTGACTTAAATTTCTATCGAGGCAAAAATCAATATGCTAATTCGATATATCGATCGTCAATTTATTGATAGATTCGTTGAACTCTTTACGATCTGAAACGAAAAAACTGCGTGTCTTGTTCAATGCTGAATTATCGTCCACCTTTCTACTTAGGGAACGAGATGAAAATTTACATTTACGCTGAACAAGCTATTGCATTTTTTACGAGCATATTTGCACGAACTTCACGTATGTATGTACTTGCGTGACGTTATAGCTCGATTCTAAAGAGAATTCACTTTACCATGTTCGTCCAACCAATGTAATCGAATGAAAAATGTTTATCGATCATTTTATTACCAAACCGTAAACGTGTGTGGTCGCAAC